CCCGGCGTGGGTTGATTCGGAGTTAGCTCATTCACCCGCTGCTCCGCCACGGCGCTCAGCTAGGGGCTTCTGGGGACGCCGAGGGCGAGCTCCGGGCTCCCTCTTAGCGGCTCCCAGGCCTCGGCCGGCGGCCCGGGCCCCGGGAGCCATGCGGCTTGCCATTTTCGTTGCTGTCAGGGCTCTGCCCGCTCGCGGCTGGAACCGGGAGCACCGGAGGCGGCCGCGTCTACGTGGTCAGGGATCCTGAGCTGCGCCTGGACCGCTCTGTTGCGCGCAGCTTGGCGAGCGCTGCAGGCCAGGGCGCCGTGGGAACGAAGCTGTCCCGGCAAGCGCGGGCTGGAGGCCCCGGGGTGAGGGCGGCAGGAGGGGACCCTCTACACTATGGCTGCGCGGCTCAAGTGCACACGCAGCTCAAACTTGACTGGAGGATTCGTTGACGCATTTTTAACGTTTCTGGGATCGAAAGAAAAATCTTGGGAAACAAATTCCGTTTATTGCTCCCCGCAGCGGTTGCGGAGCCCCAGTGCTTCTCGGCCCTTCGGCCAGTTCTACTGAGCTCAGTCTATGAGAAGGAGGTGTGGGGGACTTCCAGTACCTTCTGGAGGGTCGCTTTGGGAGGGGTGTAGGAGCCAAACCCCTCCTGGGCTCCAACCGGGAGAGGACCTGGACTTCCGACCCAGTTTCGATCTTACCCTTAAAACAAAAGCACTCCCTGTCGGGCCCTAGAAGTGCACAGTGGCAAGGGCCAACATAGGTGGCACACCCCTACGTCTACATTCTGGAAAGCCAATCACCTGCAAGGACTAGAGGACACAAGAATGCCAAGCCACCAGGCAGCTATGGGCGCAGGAGCCTGGAGCCTGCGGATGGCCCAGCAAGGCCCTCCCTGGTGGCTGCCCATTGCGGGGACAACCATTCTTCTGTGCTCCGAGGAGCACGGCTGTGTGTTCAAAATCAGCTGTTCTCACATTCCTGGGAAATCTTGGGGAGCAGTGGACTCTCCTGGCAACCCACTCTGGGACAGGGCATTGGTGCCGGGACCCTTGACTCTTCGGAGCAGAGGGGAAAGCCTGGGTCAGAAATTGGGAATTGTGTCTGTCAGTCCTCAGAATCATTCATGTCACAGCAAAGTCCCGTGGTGAGGGAAGAGGAGTAAAGGGGGCCTGAGATACGAGACTCAGTGTCAGGAGCTCCTGTGACCCCAGTGTAGAGCTGAGGAATGGCTGGGTGGGGGAAAGAGCCCTTCAGATCTCCTCTTCACCTCAGTTGTGTTAACTGAACTCCCAGGCAGGCCAGCCTCCTGCCCCAGGTCCCCTGAGTCCCCTGCTGGGGCTGGTCCCAGCAGACCACCTTCATTTCCCTTTCTGTGTCGTGGGAAGTGAGTTGGATCATCCCCAAGGGCCCCTCATGGCCTCCATACTGCTGTTGATTAAATCTGAGACACATTTCCACCAAGGGTGGAGCAGACGACATACCTAGAGAGACCTAACCTCACCTACTCAGTGGTCCACATGTTGTGTGGGGTCAGGTCTGTGAGTCTCAGTCCAGTGGAGAGCGCTCCTGAGCAGTTCCACGGTTCCAGACTTCCGGGGAAAGCCCATGTGTATTTTCTTTTCTACCCAGACAGGAACCTGAGGGTGAGCAAAACTTGGAATTCCACAGAGCCCAGAGGCTGAGTGCCCAAAGGCACTGGCCGAATTTGGCAAGCACAAAGGAACAGGGAGGGACGGGGGCAAGAACCTGGCAAGGTCAACACATCTGGCCAGGCAGCCCTTTCCATCTCAAGCACACGGGATACAATAAGGCTCCCTGGGGCCCTGGCAGGGGCAACTGGGCCAGGTTGGACCCCCCCCACCTCCATGCACTGCAACAACTAGCCTCCTCCCCAGAGACCTGGCTTCTCCTGGAGGCAGGGGGCACAAGCCCAGAAAGTGTGTGTGGGACCACCAGGAGTGCAGAGCTTCCTGGGGAACCCATGGGGCTGGGGCTCCTCCTCGCCAGTTGTCTTTTCTGATGCTCACTCCAGCACTACAGAATCAGCTTTTCTTACTCCCCCCAATCCACACCACTTCCCAGAGGAGATGATCTGATGTCTCCAGCTGTATCTCTGAGCTTGCTGAAAGGCTGGGAGTCCATGAACTCCTTCCCTGCCCCAAGCGAGCGCAGTAGAAGTTGCTGCCCTCCTCCCCTCTCTAGTCCCCCCAGGCCCAGCAATAACATTGGTTCCAGAGCTTGATAGCAGCCTGAGGTTCTCTAGGGTGGGGAGCTGCCATTCAGACAGCCACACCTTGCTGCTCCCCAATGTGAGGACCTTGAGGTCAGGATTCAGCTCCCAAGCTCCCTAGAGCTTGGCTCAGATTGAAAATTGCTTTTAAACCTTTCAATAGCAACCTTTCCTCCACAAGTAGGGCCCCCACTTGCCCATAAAGCCTGGTAAGTCCCCCAAAAGTCTTTGCCAGGCTGGGATACCGAAGGCCTTGGGGCCTCCCGGCCTGGAGTGGAGCTACATCTGACTTTCCTGCTGCACCCTTTCTCAATGCCTGCCCTACCCTGCCTTCAGCTTCTAAGTCTGGCCACGCGGGGGCAGGGCCTGGCCAGGCCAGGACCCAACCCCAGCCAGGGCCCTGGCCTTGGGGATAGCCTGCCTGGGCCCCTCCAGCATACTGGGGAGACACTACTCCTCAGCACCTGGAGAGACCCAGCAGCTCAGCCATCTCACTGTTCAGCCTTGGTCCACAGATCCCCAGGCAAGCCCATGGTGTCCCTCTCCTCCCCAGAACCAAGAACCCTGAAAGAGGACAGAGAAAAGAGACAACCTTGCCTACTCCCCACACCTCCTGCCAGCAAGGGTTAGCCCAAGAGATGGCTGTCCTAGTCAGCCTCGCTAGAGTTCAGACAGACCCTTCCTGAGCTGAAGAAGGAGGAAGGAAGAGGGCTCTGGTGAGCTGCTGCACCCCAGAAAAAGGCTGGGCCTTCCTAACCTTGGGGCCTGCTGGCTGCCTCCAGGGCAGGGAGGAGGCAGCCCTTGGTGGGGATGGGGGAAGGGCAGGTACCCTCTCCAGGTAAGAGTACTTCACAGGTTCCAGTGTAGCTCCCCAGGCTGCACGCCAAACATCCCGGGCAGCTACAGGCAGGAGCAAGGGACACCTGGGTTGCTGCAGTAAAGGGGTGACCTTGAGTTGTCTGGCTAGCAGCCCCAGCCAGGTTAGGTTCTGAGTCTGGAGCCTGCCCTTGGGCCAAGGTTAGGCAGCACAGTACCCCCATTCCCATGGGAGTGAGCAGGTTCACAGGCTGCCAGGACCGGTCAGGCCTAAAACAGTGCCCTAGCCTGCCATGGGAACTCCCCACCAAGACCTACAGAGCATGTCCCTGGAAGCCGGATACTCCTGTGTCCCAGCTCAGGGGACAGGTAGTCAGTGTGGGGAGGGTGAGTAATGGTCTGATAGACCCTCTGCAGAACCTCACTGAAGGGCTTCCTGGACACACTCACCTAGGGCCAGAAAGAGCCTGGGGGCAGTGGCCAGTGAGCACTTCCGCATGCGGGGCAGCGAGTAGGGTGCAGGACTGGGCAACCGCCTGGAAATCTCACAGGGGCAGGAAGCCCAGCAGGAAAGAGGCTGTCGACTTCTGAGACTAGAAGGCGGAAGGCCCAGCACACCATCTAGTCTGGGTCCGCAGGGGCTTTTCCTCTGGGGTGGCATGGGCCCTGCGTCCCTAGGCCCCACATCTCTGGTCTCTGCTGGGGCCTAGCCCTCGGCGTAGCTCTGCAGCCGTGGCCAATTTAAGGCAAAGGGCAAAGACGCAGGTTTCCGTGTGTAGGTCTCAGTGCAACGGATACTGGTTTCATTGCACAACAAAGAGTGGGTGGGCATGGACAGGAGCCCCACCCTGGGTAGCAGAGAGACCTGGACCCGTGGGCACGACCCCTGCCCCGGGCTCGGGTGACGCAGTGACAGCTCCAAGTCTTCCTGCCTGGCGGAACCTTGATACTCTGGAAGGACGAGAGGGGCAGCGAACCAGTCAGGGTAGCGCCTCTGTCGGCTTTCCATACTTGAATGAGGAATCCGCACTCACTTCATCAGGCCCCTGGGCTGGGTCCACCCTGCGGGTGCCCAGGCAGACCTCTCTGCTGCCGCGCCTCAATTTGAGGGTTGCTGGGGCAGAAGAAGCGCCTGGTCGGCTCCCGCCCGCGCTCCTCCACCTGCACCGCTGGCCCTCCAGCCTGGACGCATCTGGGTCCCCGAGAGGCCAGCGGGGTCCGCAGAGGCCCCCCGGCTCCCGAAAGTGTCCCAGCCCTGGCGCTCGCGCACCCGGGTACTCACCTGGGGGCCACGGCGGCAGTCGAGCAGGGGAGCAGAGGCCAGAGCGCGCGGATACGCCCCCGAGGCGGAGAGGTGCGGGACGCCAGGGGGACGCGGGGCAGAGGACGCCCGGTGTTCGGACGGCGGCCCCCAAGCCGCCCCCAACGCAGTGCGCTGCGCTCCGTCGCTGGGCGCCGTACGGAGGACGGCGGGTCCGAGTGCAGCCCGCCGGCCGGGGCAGTGGCGGAGCGCGGAGCTGGCGGCGCCTCCGCTGTTGTTTTTGAGCCGAGAAGCCCGAAGCAGCCGCCGCTGGGTGGGGGCGAAGGGGAGGGGGCGGGGGCCCGGGAGGCCCGAGGGCGGCGGCGGGGCTCGGAGGGGGCTTCGGAGGAGCCGGGTTCTGGCGCGCGGGCGCCGGCACCCCCGGAGCAATCGCGGGGCGGAGGCGGGGGCCGAGGGGAGAGTTCGGGAGAAGAGCGGGCTGGGGCGACGGTGAACGAAAGCTTTTTAATTAGTAATAAAACGCAATAAAACGCAGCGAAATCAGCCCGGACCCGCGTCCGAACTATCTGCGCGTTTGCCCCAAGATCTAAGGAAGTCGCACGAAAAACCGCAGCCGCCACCCCATCTTTGGCCCGGCTGGGGCGGGAGCTGCAGCGCGACGCGACGCAGGGGCAGGGCGGGGGGACGGTCACCTCGCCTCCAGGGCCACCTGGGTCCTTTTAAAGTGTCCGGGGTGCGGGCCCCGGGCGAGAGCGCAGATCACGGAATGTTTTCTTAAAGGGCCAGTTCCAAGCGGCGCTGAAAAGGGGGGGGAGGGGGCAGAGAGAAGTGAGGTGAAGACCGAGAAGGCCGAGGAGAGCCCCCCAATCCCGCGCCGAGGCGGCGGCGGCGGCGGCAGCGGCGCGACGATGAGGATGATGAATACATTGCAAAGTTTTTTTGGCCCCGGCGAGGGGTGTCAGATTGAGTGCTCTGTGCGCATGTGCGAAGGTGTCCAAACTGACAATGCTGGGGAGATGAAGATAGTGTGTAGCTGCTTCTGGGCTCAAGGAGGAGGAGAGAGATTCCGCGAGCCGACACCATGCGATCCAAGGCGAGGGCGAGGAAGCTAGCCAAAAGTAAGTCTCCCGCGCTCGGCCGCGCCGCGCTGCCGGGCCCGGGCCGCGGGGCCCGGGTGCCCGGGCCAGGGGTGCGCGTCGGGGCGCGGTCGGCGCGCCTGCCGCTCCGGCCCCCGGCTCGGCCGCGCGGCCCCGGGGGCTGCTCCGCCTCCCGCGCTCCGGGGCGGCCGGGCTCGGCGCGGAGGCTCGGGGCGCCCGGGCCGCGCGCTCCCCGATGGCGCCGGCCCCCTCCCCGCTGAACCCCCTCCCCCCCACAGTGTCAGGCGCTCGGGCCCGGGAACCCGAGGCGCGCGGTGGGGGCCGGGGAGGGGGGCGGAGGGGGAGGGCCAGGGGTGGAGGGGAGAGAAAAGCGAAAGTTAGCGAAAAGTTGACGAAAGGGGAGAGCAACTTTTCCTCCTGGCTCGCGCTCTCCCTCTCTCTCCGAGTGGCTCTCAGTCCTGGTCAAATCATATTCCGGGCTTCTGAAATAGTGGGCGCTAGAGCACCGCCTTTGGCGTCCGCCAGCCGGGCGCAGAGGAGGGAGACCCCGAGCCGGGGAGGGGGCGGGCGGAGGAGGGGGCGCGGGCCGGCGCCCACCCGGCTCTCCGGGCGTAAGAGCAGGGGTGGTGAAGGCAAGACGGCCGCAGCCACTTGGGGAGCAAAATGGAGACTTTCTTTGAGCTTGGGACCGTGGTCGTGAAGTTTATTCCCAAGTGGTGCCCCGCGTGGTGGCGGGCGCTCCTCTGCGACTCGGGCAGCCCGCGCGGGCCGCCGCGGTGCCGGTGCCTCAGGCAGCAGAGTCCCCACCGGCCGCCTTCCGACTCGCCGCGACCGCCCTCTGTCTCGCGGACCCTCCAGCACTCACTCGCCTGGCACAGCCGCGCGGCCCTAGGGGATGGAACTGCCCCGGCAAGGCTGCCGGGTCCCGGGTCTTACTTTCTCTTTCGCTCCGCCTTCGGGCCGAGGCCGGGGTTCCGCGCGCAGCCTGCGGTCGGCCAGTCCTGGCCGCGGGCGTGTGCTCCCGCCGCCCGCGCCGCTCCCGCCGCGCCTCCGAGTAGCCCGTGCGCCCTCCGCGCTCGGCCGCCGGCGCCATCCCCCGACAGGCCAGCGGGCCAGGGGCTGCGGCCCTCGCGGCTCCGCAGCGGGCAGGTGGGGACCGGCGGCGCCGCGGCCCGGCCAGCGCAGCTCCCGCAGCCGGCCGCGGCCCGGCTACAGCGAAGCGGCGAGCGCCGCGCGGAGCAGAACCCCGCGCCGCCTGCTCGTGCCGCCCCCTCCTCCGCTGGCCGCCGACTCGCAGAAGGGACGCCCCAGCCGGCTCGGCTCGAGATTCCCGCTCGATCACCAGGCTGTTCCGTCCGTCCGTGTCTCCTGGGCCCTATCCTGCCGGGCCGGCTTCGCAGCACCCAGGGCCAAGCCCTCAAGCGTGAGCCCAGTGGGCAGGGGACTCGCAGCACTTTTCAGAAAAAGCTCTGTTCTTGCGGCTCGGGACCCGACCGAGCTCGGCCCCACAGCGGCCCCGCAGCCGTAGGCCGCGCACCCAGCCTTCAGGGAAAAGCAGCTCCCCCGGGCTCCGCTGTTGGTCGATCGTGGCTCCTCCCGAGGCGCCCCCTTCCCCCTGGGCTCTTCTGCGGGCTGCCCTTGGCCTCGGCCTGCCGGGCCTTCCATGACCTCTGACCCCTCTTGGTGCGAACAAGGCCAGACAGACGTTTTGCAGCGGACATGAAGGAGCTGTGTGCGCGCTGCGTGCCTGTCCTCTCCTCGGCGTGTGGAGCGTGTGTGTTGTGTACCCGTTTGGGTCTGTGTATGCCCAGCGGGCTTTCTGCAAGTCTGGACCCTGGCTGCAGACCGCGCTGGTCAGGCCCTCACAGAGGAAGGGCCCAAAGCAGGAGCAAGAAAGAGTAAAGCCGTTGGGCTGGCCTGGCCTTCGCTGGAAGCGAGAGGCTGGTTTAGCGCACCCCTGCGCTGCCCCGGAAACTTCCCAGAGGCCCACACCGGGCCAGGGGCCTGCCTGGCCTCAGCCCTCAGTCGGCTCCACCCCAGCCAGGTGGGTAAGGTTGCCTGGACCCCGGTTCTGCTCAGGACCCAGATAGGGTGCCTGGCAGCTTATCTGCGACGTGGCGGGGAGGCCAGAGAATCAGAGAAGTTATCTGATGGGAGCCCAGCACGTAGGCTGCTTCTCTACTGGGGCACCCAGAGTGAGAGTCAGCACAGGTGAGCTGATTGCCAGGTCCCGAGGAGCCCAGCTGGAACCCGTTGTGGGACTCCTCCTGGCTCCACTGCTGGAATCACTGCCCCATCCTTCCCCAAAAGGTGGCCCAGGCAGGTTCAGGAAAGCCCTGCCTGCCCCAAGCTGCTCAGGATCTGCTGAGGAATTTCATTTTATTGGACAATAGTTTAAGCAGGTGTGAAAGTCTCCTGGGACCGACTCCATTACCTGAATCTGAGCAGCCTGGCCATCACTCTGCAGATAACGGAGCATCCTTCTCCCGGCCACATCCCGACTGGCATCAGGTGCTGGGGAGGGAGCAGGGTCATGGTTATAAGGGCTCACAATGCCCTTGCACTCGGGACCTGGGCTGTGCCTGAAACGCACAGGGGACAGAAGGAACAGCCAAGCTAGTAGATGTGACCTTGTGACCCAGAGCTTGGAGGAGCCACCCCTGAGGGTACATCTGGGGCTATAATTTCGTTTGTGTTTCCCTGTGACCCTCCTCCAGGCCCCAGGCCAGGGTTTGCTGTGGCTGGGCTTCTAGGGGGCTTAGTTGATAGCGCTTTGGGTCCGGTAGTGGGGTCTTGGTTCTAACTTCTCAGGCAGAGGCTGGTGGGGCACTGGGTCATGGCTGAGGAGAAATCTGAGTCTGAGGACCAGGGGTAGAGTGAAGATGGTTCAGGGCTGGGGTCCCCTTACTTAAGCTGGTCCAGTGTTGGCCAGTGGGGATTGGGGGGCTGTTCTGGCCCCACATTTAAAAACTAAATTTCTAACAGTAGCTTATTGTTTCTGCCACTGCCGAGAGCCAGGTGGGCAGGTGGGGGTTAGCACAGCCAAGATGCCCTCTTGACCTCCACCTTCAGCACAGACTGGTGACCTTTTTCCAGGAGAGATGTGTCCTGAGAGACTCTGCAGCCAGGACACCCCCCCCAGGCTGCCTTTTGAGGCCTGATCCCCATGCAGGTGAAAACCCCCATGGTCCTAGAAAGCGTGTATCCCAGGGCTAGGAGTATCCTCGAGACCAGCATCTAGCCCCTGGGTAGGAGCTGCTACCCTGCTAGCTGTGGAACTCTGTGTGTGTGTGTGTGTGTGCTGCGTGTTTGAGGTACTGTGTGTGCAGAAGGTGTGTGTGAGACAGGGTGGGGGTGAGCAGACCTGGAGGCCCAGATCTCAGCCTGGTTCCTTCTTCTCACCGAAACCGTGGGGGCTCCAACTAATGGCCCCTGCCCTTCCCCCACCCTCCCTAGGGAAGTCTGACCCTCTCTGGCTGTTGTCCCCAGAGCCCACATGGCAACCCTTTCTCGGGACAGTGGTTAAGGCGGCAGCACCAGGAACTCTCCGCCAGGAGTCTAGCCTCTTGCCCCGCTTTGGGCGAAAACTCAGAGGGGCGGGGTGTAGGGCTGCGGGCCAAGGACCTGGTGCCCTGTGTCACTGCCGTGTGCCCACCAGCCCTTCCTCTGCCACTGGCTGTGGGGTGTGCTGGTGCAGAGGGTGAAGGGAGGGGGCTGCTGTGGACGGACTGGAGGCGTGGGGTCCCACCTGGGCTGCCCTGCTCCACCGGGCCTGTGGATTGCTTGCAGGAGCAGGTGCAGCCAGACCGCTTAGCCCCTCCCACCCCAGGCTCCTGCAACTCCAAATCCCTTCTAGGCAGCGCTGGGGGCGGGGGACAAGGTCCCCCGCCTGGATAGGGGCTGCTGGGGCACCCCCATGGCCCCTTGAGGGAGGCACAGCCAGCTACAGCTTGCTGGGCCGTGGTGGGCTCGATTAGCCCCCTGTTTTATTCAATTAGGAGGCAATTAGGGACCCTTGGGGGGCTGTACTGGTAATTAAGGTGATGTATAATTAGAGTTTCAACAAAAATTATCCAGGATTAAAAATCTTTTGAATAATTTCGTTTAAAATTTTCAAATAGCCTTAAATACAATTTATCAGGTTTTGAATCAAACCCGTGTATCAAGCGTTGGAAGCTGCAGCTCACGTAGCAAGCGCTGGAGGACAAGGAGTGGCCAGGGCGCCTTCCCTGTGCAGGAAAGAAACTTCCTGAGGAGGAGCTTGGGCGCAGAGTCGGGCTACCTGGCCCGAGGGCCATTAGGTGTGCATCGGCGGGAGTCGGGCTAAGGGACTCCGGACCCTGCGGGTGGTTGCCGAGGCTCCTTGGCCCCCAGCGCACAATGTCGCAGCCGCTACCGCCCATGGGTTAGCGCTCGCGTCTACAGGGGCGCAGTCGCTGACCCCGACCCAGCCATAACGGTGCCTTTCTCCTTCTGGTCCCTGGTCCAGTCCCAAGGGTCCCCGCCTCTTGGCTTCCGGGGTGGAAAAGGACAGTGTCTGCGCTTGACTCCCCAGACCCTTGCCCCCGGTGCCGGCTCGCCCTTCACTGCCACTGTGCTGACCTGCATAGAGAGTGCGGGGGTGCAGCCAGGGTTCAAGTCAAGCCATGAGGGTCGGGATCCTCCAGGGAAACTGTGAGGGGGAGGGAGAGGGCTTTCGAGGGCTGTGCTGGGCCCTGCGCCCTTCTGAGCATGATCCCTGAGCCCAGGTTCAGCCTGGTGGAGTTTGGGCTGCAGCTTGAGCCCCAGTCCTGCTGGGCAGCCTTAGGAAGCTAAGCAGGGTTCTCCGTAGGGGAGCCCCAGGTACATTACCCCACTCTCCCCTCTTTGATTCTGGGAGGCACGGAGTAGCTGGCACCTCTTATAGGTATAAAAACCCCAGGTACAGAGTGCAGCTCTCAAAGCCGCACAGCAAGTTCAGGGTTCAGGAAGTCAGTTATGTGAAGACTCCCAGGTCTTCTTGTGCAGCACCCCCAACCCAC